AAGAAATCCTTCAAGTACGTTTTAAGGCAGAGAGGCGTCTTAAGGCGTCTTTAGGATTTCTTTTGGCTTTAATCCATATCATCTATAAATTGCAAACTGGCATAATTTTATAATGTTTCTTTTGATTTGTTTTAAAGGTGTGCAACGGTTGCATTAAGTGCCGAATCTTTCTTAACATGTAATTTATGAAAAACGATAGCATACCATATTAAGAAAAATAATCAGATGGCGAACTAGGATGGAAATGAAAAAATGGATGAGAGCAAAATTATTTTACGATCTTGCTGTCTGAATGATTCGTTTCAGAAATGCAATCTTCGTAACTAGTTTGCAGTGCCTTTTCGTCGAGAAAATACTTTATTTGCATAAGAATCTTCTGTGCTCATTTGCTATAATCTTTTGGCTAATAAATTGTCCACACATAGTAGTTTTCTATCTTAAGAAAGGTGATTTAATTTGGCTGCTTACGACACAAAGAGTAGAAGCGAGCCGTTTTGCGACATTATCTTAATGTTTATTGCATTTTAACGCATTGGCAGAGAATCCTAATATATGTATTTCATTTTATTAGGCTGTTGATTCTTTTTTTTTTTTTGTTGTTGTTTTTGTTCTTTCCAGGTAGATATGTGTGGCTTGCAATCTTTTGGTTTCCAACCAAAACATAGTTACATTATTTATCTTGCATATTATTCTGAGCTAGAATATAACAAATCATTCTTTGATAGAAAATAACAAAAATGAATAACTGAATGTTCCTAAAACGCTCGTTCTCGCTCCCTCTTTTTTTCTTTTGAGCACAAACATTTTAATACGACTCCGAAAATTCGTAAACGTTTGTAAGTTTGTAGAAGTAATAATATAATAACTAAACAAATGTAAACTCTTTGTTTTTGAAAGGATTATTTTTTGAGATAATATTTTTCATTTTTGAGATATATTAAAAACCAGAGAGAATAATATGTATATTTTGAAACATATATTAAGATAAAAAATTATATTATTGCAGCATACACTCTCCTCCAAATTGCAACGTACACTCTCTGTTTTTAATCGATTACTTTTTGAGATTTTTCTTTTCACTTATTATTATTAGTTATTTATTCAGTTTCTATGGCATATAAGTGCGTGCAGCTGCAATCTTAAAGAAAAGCAGGTGGCACGTTAAGATAAAAAATTATATTATTGTTTATCGCAATGGTATAGTACTTAGGAGCCTGAAAAAATAATATATACTTCAACTCCCTTTTTCCTTCCTTTATCGAAATATCGCTTCAATGGAATATGCATTGTCTCAAGAAAAGTGTGCTGTTTAAATATTATAGATTTTGTTTTATAAATATTCTAGTAAAACATTCTAGATTTTGGGCTTTCTGCAGCCAAATATAAATTTGTGGTATTTTAGTTTTTTTGCATATGGATGGTTTTGAGTTTTACCTTGATAAAATGCATCATTATACATTGAGTAATTTTAAATATTTTGTTATGGAATGAAACATCTAACATAATATTTACAAGAGGTTTAATAATATTTATTCAGTACTAAAGCATTTACGTTCTTCTGCATTTTACATGCTAGTTTATAAGTATGCATGCTTTGGAAAACTTTTCGCCACTCCGAAGAGTTTAAGTCTTTGAAAATGTAATTAGGGAAACCATTACAATGTTTTAAAAAATTTAAAACCATTAAAATCCCACAAAGTAATTACGAAATCCTTCGGAGTTTATTAACAATTTTATGAGTACATTTTTATGTACCGATAGAAAATAAATTTGGAACTTCGTAAAGGAGAGAGGATTACATAAACCCTGAATGAGACGATGAAAAGCTTGTAGCAATTTTAAAAAATAATCTTTAAAGCACTGCAAATAAAAGCAACAAAAATAGAAGCAGACTCAACCACGAAAAATTGACGCAAAGAAAAAGGAGCTAAAGGGTATTTTTTCATCATACTAAAGTTCATTTTACTTTGTCGGCTCAGACAAACTCGAAAAGGTATGCATGCTAGGCAGTAGAGGGTGCCCACGTTTAATCGCTAACCCGGCTTAATGGTTTTCGATTTTCGAATCCATGAGTGCTCGAACAAATTTATAAGCACATAAGTTAAACGTCCACTGGAGAACAGTTTACAGTATGGGTGAGCACGTAATCAGTTCAGACGAAAATACACCTGCGGTGCAGGCCTGAGACGAAGGTAAGTGCGCGTAATACACCGTTCAAGCAATTATTATGATATAATATGAGCAGATATGACATATAGGTAGTGAGGTAAAAAGAAATGCCTTAGATTGCAGGAAAGCGTGACACACTCAAGTAACATGATACTTAAGTAACATGATAACATGATAAGTGAGAATGGATGTTGAAAATACAACACAACAGTAATACAAAAGTATAGGGAGTTGCATACAATATATACAGACAAAAATATTTACAAAAATATATACACAGATACATACAAGCAGCTAAGGGTGTACCTGAGAAGAGACAATTCGTAAGAGTTCCCCGTAAGAGTACGGGGTTGAGGAAAGGAATTGCAGGGCATGATTAGCATATTATCAGTTACATAAAAACATAGATGAGATGCATGTGCATAAGTTAACTGTCGAGGTATCTGAGGACCGCTAGCGGCCTTTTGCGATTGGTATCTGCATCGTAGTCGTAGGAGAGCACAGAAATGGTGCTGTTACATACACCTGGGATTTTAGCAAAGAATGCATCTGCAAGTTTTGCAATGTACTAATAGCGAATTTCTGGCATTTCATGCTCGCGGTTGGTTGCCGAGTTTCGAATGAACCAACGACAATTCACCTCTTGCTGGAGTACAATATTTTGTAATATTTGAAATTTATCAATATGAGTTTTACTGGCATATCCCCAAACAGGACAGGCATGGGTGAGAATGGGACGCAAAAGGGTCTTGTAAATGAGTAATTTGTTGTCAATAGATAGAACAGAACTCCGGTCAGTTAAGGGGTTAAGTGTTCTTTTACGGACACGGAACTTGGCAATAATCTGTGTTATATGTGGGGACCATGGGAGTAACCTATCCAAAATAACACATAGGTGTCGGGCTTGCATAGTCCACTGAATAGGAATATCATACATAAGGATACGAGTGGCATCGTCTAAGTTTCTCCTTTTGGTGAAAAGGACTGCTTTCGACTTTTCTACATTTATCTTCACTTTCCAGGCTGTAAGCCAGGGCTCTAGTGCTTGGACATGATTTTGAAATGTTTGCATGACTGAGCTCTGAGATGCGTTTTTGGAAAGAATTGCCGTGTCATCGGCGTACATAGCCAGAGTGGTATGTGGTGTTTGTGGGATATCGTTCGTGTAGATATTATAGTAGACGGCTCCAAGGAGGGTCCCTTGGGGGACTCCAGCCTTGATAGCCCGCGGTGTGGAGGGTGTATTGTTCACACAAACAATAAAGTGTCTTTCCTTTAAATAGGAATGTGTAATGGATGTGATGTACTCTGGGAAACCCAGAGTGATGAGTTTGTACATAAGGACCTCGAGCTAGGCACGATCGAAAGCTTTGGCTACATCTAGGAATGTGGCACCTGTGATCTGTCGGTCCTATAATCCTGCTGATATCATTTCTGTCACCCGGTAGAGCTGGTGCGCCATTGAATGCTTCTTCCTGAATCCGCATTGTTTTGGGATGATGATACTCGACTTGACACATATAAATTGTAAGTTTATACTTCTAAATATTAAATTATTTTGAAAGTTATTGGATAATTTTTAGAAAAATATCGACAATTCTTACAAAATGTTGAATATTTTAGAAGTTTTATAGTACAGTCAAACCTCTATTTAACGAAAACTCTGTTTAAGAATTCGTCTATTTAGCGACTTTTTCGCGGGATTCTGCCCAATTTATATATTTCCTTGCATAAATTACCTCCAAATTGCAACGTACACTCCCTGTATATGAATGAATTACTTTTTTAGACTTTTTTTTCCACTTCAAAATTATTTATTCACTTTTATTTAGGTGAATTTTAGGTAAATAACATATAAGTGCGTGCAGCTGCGGTCTTAGAGAACAGCAGGTGGCAAGTTTTATGTTGTCACATTCTATTCTAGATGAAGTGAAGGGGAAAATTTTTATTTGTTTTATTTTTTTAATGTGTGTTATTTTTTAGTTTCATAACGCAATTAATTATGTAATTAAAATAATCAAACTCTTAGTATATACTATAACTAGAGGTTGTATAATTATGCTTTTATTTTTGTCTCTGTTAAATATTTTGAATGTTTCATCTTCTAAGACAGGTCTCTTTCAAAACTGCTATGTCAAAGCTATATATCTGTAGCTAAATGTATTCACATATTTCTCTGTACATAAATCTGTATTTGTCTATTTATCTGTATCTCCTTGTATCTATAGCTATAGATGTTATGGTTTTATATAGATATACGATGCTTAAACCGGCTTCCTTAAAAAGGAAAACTATTCATTTTCGGTACTCATAATTTCTGACAGAAATTTACGTTTTAATTGAACGTTTTACAAATGGCAACTGAAAGAATGATTGCTGTTGCCAATCTCTCGTTATATTTTATTCTTTCTGATACTTTTCTCAGATTATACTATTATGATCTTAACTCTGAAGATGAAATCATTACTTTAAAATTAGACTGCAAAACTTTTTAAGAACATCTACTAAAAATTTTATAGTAGTGATTTTATAATGAGCTTCGTTAACAGTCATAAAAACAAAAACTGTATACCTAATTAAGAAACAGTGCAAATTTTTAAAACCTGGATATGCTATTTGCTGTCTGTGCTCGATTTTCATAGATTGAGATAAGTTTGGTTAACTAATGTTAATCATATTGGACCTGGTTCTAGCTAGCTTAAGAAGATCTATATTATTATATTTAATTTATTTATGTGTATTTACTTGCTCATTTTGTGCAAAAACAGGAGGCCTTAGTAATACTCTTACCCTGAGCAACTAAGCATAATTCATGGAATTCTTTATTTCAGCTCCTATGTCTCCTCAAGGGTCAGTTTTTATTCATCCTAATGCTACTACGGTGACTTTGAACTTGTCTGCTTGGAAGAGTGGAGGTTGTCCCATCCGTCATTTCACGGTCCAACATCGACCCAAATATCAGAATCTTTGGACAACTGCTTCTGAAAAGCTAGACATGCCAAGGGACATATACATCATCCGGCATCTTTCTCCAGACAGGGAGTACGTAATCATGGTTACTGCGCACAGTGAAGCCGGACTTACCCAAGGGGAATATGCAGTCAGAACCTTGCCAGCTTCAGCCTTAGGTAAAGAGTATATGAACTGTACAGTGTGCTGATACCACACTCATTTTAAAAAGTAGTTGCTGTTGTCAGTTTATAAAATATCCCATTTTTATACGCATTTATAAGTAGACATTGTTTAGAGTGTTCCAAGTAATTCGAGTAATATATCGTTTCTTGTAATCATTTCTAGATCATTAAAAATATCACACATATAATTTATAAAGTGCGGAAACATAAGGTCGCCCGTAATTATTAATTAACTTGCAGATCTTCTGTGTGTGGTTTGAATAAATGTTTTGCGAACGTGTGTAGGTATATCCGTATATGCTGTCAGTAATGTTAATTTAGTGCAATTTTGGTAAACAAACGTTCATAATGAACAAATCTATTTAACGCAAATGGCGCGGAATCTTAAGTGACGGACGTATAGATACCATGAGCACTCTGTAGATTGTATTTGCTGTTGCATAATTGTAAAATGAATAGCAGTAGTTATTTGTTTTTGATACCTGATTTTCCGCGTTCTTCATTCATAGCTCCAACTTCTTCTCCAGCTTTCGGAAAAAGAGAGACCGGCTTGCCTTTCTACAAGAACATAGCCTTGGTAGTTCCTGTAGTTGTATCATCTCTGGTTATCCTGGTTCTCATGTTCGCCATTGTAGTCTGCTTCAGGAAACATTCTCAAGACAGAAGAGGAAGGAATGGTACGTCGTCACACAGCTAAAAGGATAAGCAAGGAATTTATCTTATTTCGTTCTATGCAATAATTAAAAAGCTTTTGTAGTTCAGAGCTTTTAATAAGTCTTCTTCCTAACATAAAATTTATGCATATCAGTGTTATTTAAGTAATTTGCAGTGTAGATGATTATTAGCAAACGTTCTAATGAACTATTTATTTTTAAACAAATCTCTGGTTTTCTGACTATCAAAAATTTACATCCTAGACTTTTTCTTTGTTGTTAGAATGCAGACGAGAAATAAATTTTTCAAGCTCCGCTTTCAAAACATATAACTCTTTTATTTATTTATTTATTTTTAGTTTACACTGTCAAATGAATTTTAGGTAAATAATAAAGTTAGACTTATTCAAAACTTACCGGTAACAGACGTAAATTTTCATTGCTGCAGAATTACTGTGATAAATAAAAGATATCGATTAATAGTTGTTGATAATAAGTGCTTTTAGCACTGAAGCGCTGAAAATACGTTTCCTAGATTTAAGTATGCAGGAAAAATAAAGCACACAATGAAGAAATAATCACATAATTATTAAATCATGAAAGGCTCCGTGGGTGGAAAAAAGTAATCACTTTTCTTTGCAAAAAGCATTTAAACAAAAGCATTTGTTTATTCTCTAGTATTTCGTTCAAATTAATGTTTTTTGGTTTATAATAAAGTAACAAAATCATATCTTTGTTCAAAAGACAGATTTCTTCTCTGTGTGTCACTGTAACAGATAAAAGTCGAGAAAATTTGAAAATAAGCAGACCTGCAATAACTTAGCCCCAGTTTTATTTCGCTTACAGAAGCAATTAAAGGATTTAGAGGATTAGTACCAAGAGAAAAATAGGGTTTTACGTACAGTTGGTGTAGCTCTTAAAGTTTATTTTAGAACAAGGTTCAAAGTAAAGATCTTATCCGATAAAGATCTTTGCGTTTCCTTTTTAACAGCGTTCATAAAGAAGGTGCATGTTACTGATAGCAACCTTAGTAATTTCCAAACGTATGTGTTCTCTTTTCTTACTTTTTAACTTTGTTAGTATTATTCTGTACTGATGGATACTTCTTGGAGGGTAGCATTCCGTGAGTTATTTTTAAGAGTACAAAGTATTTCAAGTAGAAATATTCAACATAACTATTTTATAACAAACTATAGTGAATGAAATTTTATAGTGAATCAATATATCGATTTTTTCAATATATCGATATTTAATTCATATATGAGGTACTGAACTACTGCGCAGCAATGAGTGGAAATGATGGACACCTTGTTGTTAAAAAATGTTGATTAAAAGAGACGTTCAAAACGTTTTATAAGCATTTAAAGGGAAATCGCAGCCACCCTTTCATCTTTATTTTTAATACTGAAGGTAAATCAAGTTATTTTTCCAAAAATGTGCAGCCGTTTTCATAGTGAAATTAGTGGTAGTAAAATTAAATATTGGTATGCATAAGAAGTTTTCAAAATAATGTGATAATATCCGTTTTAGAAAAAATAAAAGAAGTAAGAACTTTTTTAACTGCTTAAAAACGCCTCCATAAATTGTGAACATTCCTTTTGCGTTTTTATAAATTTGAGCTGCTTATCACATCTTACTAAAAACAGTTTACCTGGATTTTACTTTAATTATTTAAATTTATTGCATAAATCCACGCATTTTCATGTCATAAGTATAGAAAAAAGGCGATTTTAAAATAAATTAAGAAATAAAATTAAGGCTGTAAAGACTTCAATCTAATTACGCAACTGAAGGAAAATATTTATTTTTATTTCAAAATGAATAATTGACTTATTAAAAGAAGTATTAAAAACTTCTAATTTTCAGCTGTCATTTATACATTTCATAGAATTCTTTCTTTTTATTCACGTCATGATAAAACAGCTGAGAGCATACGATTTCAAAGCGGGATACTAAAAAGGTAAATATTTTCATAATAAATCTCTGTTCTTAATATCGTTCTAGGTGAGTCCACAAAGCATTAAAATAATGACTTTTTAACATCTTGTCAAAGAAAAAGTTTAGATGAAATTATATGATTAAAATTTTTACCAGTTTTATATGGTGTCTAACTAGTCTGATCGAAAGATGAGTCTTTAAAATGGGGTTATTCTATGTCCTTTCTTCCTTGGTTTCTTTTTTGGTAAATAATGTAAATATGAGCGAAATAGCACAAATATATAATGTATATGCTATGCATAATATTGATTATATTCTGTTTTACCCCATCTTATTTTGCAAGATTTTCTTTAAACTACGTTGGAAATTATCTAATTTGTACCGTACTACATAAATCAGTCGTCACAAAAGATTTCTTCGGTTCCGTAAAAGGATATCTTGCTTACGACACACAAATACATATTACCACTTCTTTGACACACTTTAAATAATGTCATAATAATAATAATAATAATAATAATAATAATAATAATAATAACATTTGTATCCACTCCTGAAGATTAGTGCAGCTGACGGCGTCATCTTTCTGGCTAAACTTCGCATAAGTTGGGGAGAGAGAAAAAAAAAATACATTTTAGAAACTAAAAATATTACTCTGACTCAAATTCTGTTCTTCTTAACCCGGTCCTAAGAAGGCAGAACATTTCAGCTGCTTAAACGTAAGAAGAAGAAATATTCCAACTCACTAATCGTTCAATCAGGAAGGATCTTAGCTGAGATTTCGGATTCTGATGCTACCCCTCCAGAATCGAGACTTCCGAGTACGGATTGCAACAAGCATAGTAAACTACTCTATGAGAAAGGTAACGTAATGATAAATGTTACAAATACTTTCTTCCAAATAAAACGGACCAGTAGCCTGTTTTTAAATTGTTTTGGTCTGCTATGTAATCCCACAAAAAAATCTAGTATTATCGGAACGTTGTTTCAGAGAAGCCACTCAGCACCTCTTTTAATGATTTGTCTACTATCCTGAAAACTGGTGTTAGTCCCCATGTTGTTGGAATTTTTAGAAGTTGAGTACTTTTTAGTGTTATTATCCATTAGATTACATATCAGTGGTATCATTAAAAAACTTAGCATTCACATTTAATCATTGAATTCTTATCGAAATATTCTTACCGAAAAGGCTTACTGAATAAAATCCTCAAGATACACGATTTTGTTTACCGTTTTTCGCGTCCTTATTATACATTTATTATTGAGATTTTGAGGAAAATATTCTGAAATCAAATATTAACAGCATCGGACGTTACACTTTCTGTATTTTAATATCGGAAAAAGAGCTCTATTATGTGTTCTGTGAAGTATTACAGAGCTTCAAATGAAGTTATTTTGTGAAAGTTCCCACATTAACAACTAATTGAATTTTAGTAAATAACTAGGTTATTCTTTTCTTTAATTCTAAAATGCCGCGCTTGTTACCTGAAAGACCTATATAAGTATGTAAAATCTTTATTATTTTTTCAGATTATGACAACCGGAAACCATGCAGCGATTCTCTAATGATGAGTGATATGACGAAGCAAATAACGACAAAATCAACGAAATTCTCTCACTACTCTTGTCCTGCCGGTAAGTAAAAGACATGCTGTTGAAAGAAAAATGAATGGCGAGTTATCTTCTTTTCCCTTTAAAAGAAAGCGGAAGTTGTTAGCTATCTCAAACTTAATGAGGCATAAATCTCTTTTTAAAAGGAAGTTATCATTCTTTTAAAAGAAAGAAATAATCAAAATATTAATTTAAATCTTTTGAGAGAGAAAAATCAGTAAATGGTATTCATTCAAATTTCAAATTTTCACCGTTTTTTCCTCCTTGCGTCTTCCGTTTAAATGTGTAGATTAAAACGAACTTGAATGAAGTACAAAGAAATCCATAAATTACGTTTTCAGACGGTGCAGATTTATTTTTAATGTATTCTTTCATTGTTCTTTTTTATATCTGCTTTCATTTACTTAACTTTATTCTCTGTAAACAGTCACAGTTTACTTTCTATTTAAGCATATCTTCTTTTAGTCGGTTTACTTTCGTAATGCATTCCTTTCATTTTGATAAAAAGTTCCAGAGCGCTTACATTTTAAACACTTTTCAAATTTTCTCTCTTTTTGCTGCTGCATTTAGTTATGTAAAGAAATAGAAAGATAATAATTTTTATTCATTTTAAAAGCATCACGTGCACTGCAATTAAGGGAATATGTCATTTAAGGAAGTATGTCTCGGCTAAAAAAATGGTTTGGCTTCTATATTAGCATCAAAATTTATTTTGTTTGTGAATATATCCCGACATAATTAGTCGCAATTTTCATTCCGCTTTTATCTATCGCTCGTCTGTCTTCCTCAACACTTCTCTTCACTTTCTTTCCTTAACTCCACTGCATAAGGAAAGTCCAGCAATTTTTGTAAAGGATAGAACAAGCACAACTAAATGCTTCAAACCTTATTTTTTTTTTTTTTTTTATTTCTATCAATTGGAAAACCTTTTAACTACAGATAGATATAGTTAAAACTATATTATATATATATATAATATATATAATACAAAATAAATTAAAATAAAAAATACATTTAAAATTCATCCCATATATGCAGGTGGCAAACTGCAAGAGAGCGGAGCCAAAACCAAAAATGACAAAAGAAATTTTCATCATTCGTTGCATCATCATCAAATGATTAGTGCAACGAAAGACCTAAATAAACCCGTTTACTTTCTTCTGCCTGTTTCTGAACACAATTTGAGTTTATAAAGTTTAAAATAATCTCCGCAAAACAATCTGTGTCTTTTTCAGGCCAAACCCTACAGGCCGAAGTAAGTAGGGTGCAGATTGCAAGATTATAGCATCAAAAACATAAACAAATTTTAAAAAAGGGTAAAAATATTATTTTGAGCAAGTCTAAAAACAAAACTTACAAATATAAGCAATCCAACAAAATTTGTATTTTGTTACAACTTGCCTTATCGCACGATTTCGAATTTTTTATTGATTTGTAAAAAATATTGCCATTAGTAAAAAAATTAAAGCAGCGTTTTAAAGTTTGTAAACAAAACAAAATATATAGGGAAAATCATTTGAATGATCATTAAGTTATAGCCTCATGTCTAAGCAAATTGTAACAGACAAATAATTAACTAAAATATTTCTTGCACTAAAATTTTAAAAAATCGAATATTTATTTTGGGAATATGATGAAGGAAAACTTATACCAAAAAAAAAAGTTATAATCAACGAATTGTTAATGTATTTAAAAATATAAAATTTTCCTAATAACTGTTATAACTAGCTTCTAGCTTTCCCACACGCGTGATGAGCGTTCTGTCAGAATAATATGGCAAGAATAAATTTTGAAATGATCAGTTTCTGAAATATTTATTATAAGCTTATTATAGCTTCTAATATAGAAAAGGATAACAACCAAATTAAAAGGGATACTTAAGATGTTGTTGCAAACTGAAGTTAACTATTTATCTTACCTTTTTCTTTATATAAAACACGCGCAGCCATACACAGGGATATATAATGTGTGATCATCGATGAATCATGGGTACACTTTTTTGATCTTGAGAAAAAATAATATAACAAGGAAGCACGCCTCTTCTGTACGCAAGAAATTTCTTGACTTAGTTTTATTAGCTACAGTTACGACCAAGATTCTCTGAGATGCCAAAAGTCTGCTGATGATTAAGTACCTACAGCACACGAAGACAGTCATAAGAAAGTATTATACACATTTAGTAATAAAACTGCAAGAAAAAAATTAAGAAGGAAAATTGTGGCCATGAAAATAAATGCACATCACACGCCACTGCTAAAGGCAAGGAAAACTTCGCAACTTGCTTTTTTCATATAATGATAATGTTATGGACGCTACTGATGATGGCTTTTCAGAACATAATAAATATTATTTCTTCCAGCTATTAAATGCCCGAGTAAAACTTGTGGTTTGCTTTGGTTCGATTTGTTTGATTATGGCAAAGAACTCGAGGGCTATCTGCCTAAGGAGAGTGATGCCTTCGTGGAGCACTTTTTAATGGAAACTGGCTCGTATACACATTACACATGGGAAAAAGCCACGAAAACATCTATACAGTTAGCCGGTTCCCCGAGATTCGAACCCTGCACCGAACTACCAGTGTTCAGCGACTTCAACCCTCGGCCGCTGATGAGCCGCGAAACTCGAGGAGCGATGCATTATTATAGAAAAAGATTGCATTGAAGAATATAAAGAAATAGTTTGTTAATTTAATATTGTTTATTACATCGTTCTGTGAAATCTTTCATCGCCCCCATAGAAGTGATATAAGCAATTCTAAATTTTCTTCTAAAACTGTTGATAGATACTATTTATTTGGCTTTTCTTAAGGGAAGCATTTCAAAAATGTCCCATTTAAATGATGATAGGAACGTCTTTGGCCTCACATCTTCAAAGAACCTGGACAAATTTTCTTTTTCTCGTAATTATAAGGATTTATCAGACGCATCTTCTGTATTAAATGTCGAAAATCCAGTATTATTTCTGGCTTTAGATTTTCCAATCCAACCCTCTCTAGCAAAGAAAAGTTCCTTAATCCACGATTTTATCAAGTTTACAGCTTGTTCGCATCACATTGCCTTATTTGCATGAATAACTCTTTTCTGGATCCTGTAGCTTTCAGATTATTTAATAATGTCGAAAAATTCACATTTCTGTAGCCTTTAGCATTTTGGATAGACACCTAAAATATTGAAAGGACATACCTTTCAATATGTATATTTTGCTCTTCAAAATGTTAAACTGCGTTTTAACTCTTAATCGAATACAGAAAGCACACGAGGGCTATCTGCCTAAGGGACAAGATGCCTTCGTGAAGGGCATTATAAGGGGAACTGCGTAGAATATACGTTACACACGGGGAAAACCATCGAAGCGTCCATGCAGCCAGCCCGTTTGCCTGAAATCAAACCCAGGTCGGAACTACCAGTGTTAAACGATTTTACCGCTCGGCTGCTGGGCCCCTTCCTAAAGGGAACTTGCTCATGCTTCCTTTAGTATGTTAAGAAGAATGCCTCGTTTCTTCTCTAAATCTTTTTCCATCATTTTCTTCAATGTCTCACATAAAATTAGTTTTCAATTGTAAATTCGGAGTGCTTGATTTTGTTGCACAGCTACAAATTACACACTTTATATAAGTTTTAAAAATATAAGAACAGTTTTAAAAGTATAAGTGCTAAAAGTAAAATTAATATCATTTTAAGGCCAGGTATAAAATCTAAAGAAAAAATTAAGCTAATACTAAAGCCAGATATAAATGTTAAAAACAAATATTAAAGTAACGTTAAGGCCGGTTAGTTCACTATTTAAAAAAAAAAAAAAAAAAAAAAAAAACATCAGTTTGGAATCGAAAAAAACGCGATTTTCTTCCAAAAAGAGCAAATAACTCTAAATTGGTTCGAATCTAGTTTGAACACCTATAAGCATTTATTATATTATTATTCTTATTTTTGTGGGTTTTTTTTTTTTTTTTTTTTTTTTTTTTTTGTGGATCAAGGCGCATTTCTGGAGAAAACAAGATAATTGACTTCCATTTAACAAGAAGCTATAACATAGGCTAGAAGGAATAAAGAGTGAAAATTTCAACTTGTCGGATTTCGAGTAATCACGAACTGATTACGAGGTGAAGCTGGGTGAGCGTCGTCCTAGTGGCTCAGTTTTATTTTACATTTCATATTGCACTAGCTAAGTTCGCAAGTCAGATGCAGTTTTGTTCCCTTACATGCGACACACTCTAAAGAAAGGGGAACTTTTATTTTTGAAATAATATTGTGCAACTATTCTTTTACAAATAATCATTTATTAGTCCAAAGGGGTTTTGTCCCTGAAGGAGTATTGTTTTCGCTTTGCAATTTTCATAGATTAGGTTTTTCCTAATCAGGCCCTAACCGTCATTAATCCGTTTTAAAATTTCATTGACTGTAAGTGGTCCATATAGACATCGATGGGAACCACTGTTTGGGTATAAATTAAGTCCACATTCCGACAATCGGTTTGAAATTTGCCTGTTAATAACCATTTATGCATGTAAAAATACATTTTCCTGTAATCATTTCTCCACAAAAATATTTTTCTCAAACATTTCTTTTACTTGAAGTACAACTCGTTAGAAGAATTTTTGATACCGCAGATGTTTATTGCAGTTATAGTCATCTTTTAGAAACTGGTAAATACTAGCATCATCCTTTATTTTAAATTACTTGTATTTACAATTTAGCACAAGACTAGTAATCTAGCATATCGACAAAATCAACACTTAACGACAATGCCCGTACACCGCGTGGTCACCTGCAACGTAAGCAACTTACAAGCTTTAACTGAACTTTGGATGAACAGAATGATTCATCCGAGAATTACTGATCAAGTGTTATGACCTTATCCTTTACGAAGGTCACAGCGCTATCCAGGGATGTAAGAGTAACAATAAAATTACTGGTGCTTCTTTTCAAGCTACTGTGTTATTCCTCACTTGAATGAAAAGCGTTTTACATCAATACAAAGAAACATATTTCCATGTACTGCAATAAATTTCTGTTTACTGTGGATTCTATTTACTGCTACAAAAATCAATTAGGAAGGAAAAAAAAAAAATCGCATATCTTTCAAATAGTCAGAATGCATATATATTTAAACGTACAATCCTTCATGCAAAGCAAAAGGAACTATTGCCGTTTATTTATGCTTAAACATATTTATATGAAATGTTTCTCTCTGTTTCCAAAACTGATTTACTTTTTTTAAAAGCGATATCCTTCTTAGAGTATCTTTGAATTTCTGCTTTGTTTGCAAGTATAAAATATACAATAATATGTATATTATGTCACCATTATTTTATTATTCATTCAAAAGTTTACATAAGGTCAAAAAATTTTGTAAATGCAAAACACTGGTCATGAAAGTGTTAATACGAGACAAATACCTCTAAATCGGTGCATTTTTAAAGTATATTTAACTGAGTATCTGTATTTATTTTTAGAAAATAGCTTCAGAAGCATTTGATCACTGCTTTAAAAAATAATACACAAAATTTATCATATGACATATGGAGTAAATGAAGACATTTGAGTTTTGACTGCTCCGCTGAAATTTTTTTTTTTTTTTTTCCATTATTATTTCTATTATTTTTAGTCCAAAGGGATTTGAATCCCGAAGGACTATTAGTTTCGTTTTGGCATTTTGCGTCGGACGGATAAATGTCGGTTCACTTTTCAAACTGTTGCCATAAAATGTTAGAGTCCTGCATTATATTTGAAGAAATTAAATAATGAAAATCTGCGTAAATGTATGTATATTTCTCACATTGTCATAAAATAACGGTACATAGAGTCATCGAATTTTGAATAACGCAATCCTCCAACGAATATGAGCATGTGGAAGACCAAATTTGAAATTTGAAATTTGTTTTTATGATCGATTTCCTATTTTTTAAAACTTTGACGAATTTTTGATTAACAAACTCAAGGATTTTCAAAGCGAGCAATGGCAACGTTGTGCAGAAAAAAACATTTTTATCTCCAGCGCGTGAGTCTCTGTATCGGAAATTCTAAAGATATGCTCGTTTTAAAAACTATTTTTGCGATATTGCTGTTGCACTGGATCTTATGGTTTAAGTGCGAGGAACATGATATTTAATAAAGAAAGATAACACACAAAATGTTAAAAAAGGCCCTTTGGACGTAATTTAAAATCTGAAACATTTCAGATTTTTTTTTTATTTGTTATTTAATTTTGATTTCTATTATTTCAGGTAAAACCGATTATGCAGAGCCTTACACTTGTAACGATTCTGTAACATCCAGACAGGTAATTGAATATTTTATTCTTTGCGTATCAGTCGTATCCATGCGCTGTTAAAATTATGTTATTGTAACAAATGTATTCATTCTACAATGTTTTGTGGCCTGAAGATGGCGCCACTTTCTGATATAATGGAGAAGTCATGTCGTGTAGCAATAATAAATTAAATCTCGACTTAATAAAATAAGTAGAATATTTATTTATATAATCGGAAGAAATAAGTAAAACTAAATGAGTAAAATATTTCTTTAACTCAAGCTCGCAGTTATACACTAAATTTTATAATCTGTAGTTTAGAAGAAAATTTAAAAGTTGTTTTCATTACTTTACATCTACGCTGTACAGTTCAGATATTGATGAATTAGCGTGTTTAATGTAAAGACCGTAAGTGTTCAAGAGTGTTTTTCTTTCCATTAATTTCTAAAATTCCTACCCTATTTGTAATTTAATTAGATTATGCATAACTGTATATGCATGCATAAGACTTTTTTTTTCATTATATTAAAAAATTTAACGTAATAAAGAACTGTACACAAGTGGCGCCTTGTGTAAAAAGCTTTCACATAAAACATTACTTCTCTGAAGAAATCTGATTTTTAAGTTCCAAAAATAAAAACTGAAAATTTACACATTTATTTTCCCCATGTATGTAGAAATTCTCTTATTTTCTCATCAGTTATTTTATTATTATTTTTTTTTTCCTATGAAATTTAACAACAAAAAAATGCGGTTTTTTTATTATTTTTCTGGTGAATTTTAAAGTTATGTATGTAAAATATGCTACACAGAGCTTTATTTGGAATACAGTCCAATCGAAAATCCAGAGCAGAAACAAAAATGAGGTCACTGGTTTGACCGTAGGTTTGATGTCCGGACATACCAGTATCACGACTGTGACTGTTGTCTTAACATATAAAAGGAGAGAGACGTATTGCAATCGTTAAAATACTGCTTTGGCGATCTACATACTTTATCCCATCTCAGCATAATTACTTACTGGAATATCAATAAATGCACTCACCCGTGTTGTCAAGCCGAGTAAAAAAGAGAGCGATAAGGGAATAATTATTTATTTATGAAATCTTTATACTCTGTTAATTCCAAGCGTGAAAATATCTAGATAAGTGGGCAAAATCTAAACGAAAACATAGTAAGCATGTACATTTTTTTTTTTTTTTTTTTTTTTTTTTTTTTTTACAGAATCTAAAATGCTTTTATAAATAAAAATGTATAAAATGTAATTATAAGGCGTAATTTTGTGAGATGTATATTGCCATCAAATCAGGTCTCTTAATCTTAATACACTAATAAGCAGCTTATTGCTATAAATTTAATTCAATTTCTACTTCTTAAAGATGGAAAGCGTTCTTTAAAATAGCGATCTCTCAGTTTGTGGGGGGTTTAGTATCATTGCAGTGTAATATAATGCAACATAAATATAGAGGAAGGAGTAGGACTAAATTGTTAACATTTCTATTGTCATGATTATCAACTCATTCAGCAAATTTTACTATTATTATCACCAAATCTCTTTTTAAACCAAATATCTGGAAATAAAATTTTAAATTATAAAATGTACTATGCCAGTGGTTTTCATTCAAATACTAAAACCCATTTTCTTATTGAAAGGAATCCGTAGGTACAGGTAAACGAATGGGAGACACCAGCGATATACCATGACTCAACTGGTAATGGCTTTCCTTACTAATGCGACCATAGGAAAGATAATCTTTTCGGATTCATATGAGAATGGATCAGCGACGGCGTTATTATTTATTTTAAATTTACTACCCAAATTCGTCTGCGCGTTTTGATTTTAAATAAGAAAGTGATAAATGATCAAATTATTCCTTCAGCTAATTCCGTAACTTTTATTAAAATTTTTTTCTGCAGGCTTCGGATGGTTTGTTTGCCACTATTAAAAGATGTCCGACGAGACCCATATACATGTCTTCTTCATATAAACAAGGTAAGAGTTAAAAATAATTTCTCTCTCTCTACGCGTATATGTATTCAGGGTGTCATGAAAAAGCTTCCCCCATAATATTAAGCCCTAGCGGCTTCTCCGCTCAACCAGACGAAAGGAAATTGCAAATATTGATATTTGAAGATATGCGCACGAGATTGCAATGATTTAAAAAATAGAGCCCTCATGGTTATTATATATACAGGGTGTTCATAATTAAACTTGAAATTTGCGAGCAGTGAAATGCATGCAAATTGGGTAATGATAGAATTAAATTGTGGGAATTTTATCGAAGAAAAAAAATTAATGAGTTTCAAAAACCACCCCTAGGTGGCGTATCATAGCTTTATTGAGAACGTATAAAATAATATACAAAATTTTACAAAACATGCTCGATATCATGTCCACCATTATCTGCTGAAATTTGGAAGCGTAAAATCGCATGTACGACTGTTGAAAGCAGCATGAACTGGGGAATGTTACGCACATGGCGTTTTATTCTTTCTTTAAGGTCGGATAAAGATGTGATGAGATCACGGTAGATCATAGCCTTAAGGTATCCCCACAGCCAAAAGTTGGAAGAATTCAAGTCGGGGATCTAAGAGGCCAAGCTGTAGGAAATTGCCGGCTGATGATTCTGTCGTCACCCAAATGGCTGTGGAGCGCTTGTTTCACACAACGGGCGATGTGTGGAGGAGCAACTATCTTGATAAATAATGTGGTTGTATCACATCACCTTGCCTGAAGATCTGGAATAATGGATTGCTCCAATAATTGTGTCGTTGGTAGGTGACGGTGCATGTCACAGACCCTGCGACGTTGTCCTCTTCCCCCCCCAAAAAAAAGGGACCCACAATGAAGGTTGCAGTAAAGCCGCACTAAACCGTTACATGCGAAGAGTGTAATGGAATTTGTAGGAATTGGTGTGGGTTTGTAGCAGCCCAAATACGGCAACTATGCGTGTTAACTGCACCTTCAATATGAAATTGGGTTTCGTCGGTCCACAAAATGTTCCATGGCCATTCATTCTGGAGTTCACTTCGCGCAAGAAACCGCAACGCAAAAGTTTGTCGACTATCCAGATCAGCTGGTAAGAGCTGCTGCACTAGCAACAGTTTATAGGGATAGTAGCGTACGACCTTTTGAAGAATGTTACGAACCGTGGAACGAGGATGGTCAGCAGATGCTGCAACTCGCCGAACACTTGTGCTGCCGATGGTTTGCAATCTGTCTTCATCCACTTGCGTCACTACATCATCCACTACCTGTGCTGCATCACACTTTCGTCCCCTTCCTGGCTGAATCCCCAATGTTACCGTTGCTTCAAATTTTCTAACTGTGTTTGTTAGTCCTTGACTAGTAAGTGGACCTTTTCGTTACCTCTTCCACAAACCGCAATTTCTGCAAAGCTTCGGTAGCAGTCTCCGTTTTGGCAATCACCAATAAAACAATTTCACCAGTGAAGCACGTTACTGGAGAGTCAACGTCATCTTCCTTGACTTAGAAACGAGTATGACTGGGGTTCGCCTCTTGCATTTTATAGGGTTGCTGTGTGCGCCCAGGATTAGTATGGTTACAACTTTTGCATGTGCCACTAGTTTACATTGCACAACGCCATCTAGTGGTGGTTTTAGATACTTATTTTTTCCCCCTTCGATAAAATTCCTGTCATTTCATTCTGCCTTTACCAAATTTTCATGCAATTCTGCTGCATAGCTCTTGCTACAGACTGCTCGCAAATTTCAAGTTTAATTATGGACACCCTGTATATTGAATATGCAAATAAACTTAATTGCAATAAATTGGCATAAATTTTGGTTAAAGATAGCCCTTATATCAAAGATTCGATTTGCACCATTTTGCGCCATTTTTTCCCCACATATTACATTTTGATACATCACTTTTTTCCGCAATCTCTCTGCACTGCGCTGCATCTTTAAGCCAAGTTGCTGCTAAGGATTAAGCATGCCTTTCTGGCTATAAATAGTACCGCATTGCATTTTCTCGCTTGCTGTTACCTGATTAAACCACATCTTCGCCTTCTTCTTCATTGGATAAAATGTAAACTATGTATATCGAAATTGTGGGGCGTGTTTAGTACCCATAGCGTTGTATCAGTTTTAATCAGAATTATATTTATAAATTATGTTCCTGTAAAAAATAAAAGTGATGTTTTAACCAGCCGGTTGTGATAAACAACAGTCTTCTCAGCCGTGACTCAGGTGCAAATTGGTTTTCATCTTTCACCAAAAAGCATATCATCTCATATATATAAATTATGGGCCCACTAGCGGCCGAGCGGTAAAGACGCTGAACACTGGTAGTTTAGTCCGAGGTGCGAATCCTGCAAACGGGTTGGCTGCATATGCGTTTTCCCCATGTGTAATGTGTATACGAGCCAGTTTCCCTCAGAAAGTCCTCCACGAAAGCATCTCTCCCTTTAGGCAGATAGCCCTCGTGTACTTTGCCATAATTGAGTAATATATAAATTATTCAACTTATGTGTGCGCGTGCATTTTTATGAGTACGCATATTACGTACCGTTGGCCTTTCTCTGTGTCCTGGTACTCTACTCTTCGCTTTCATACCATTGTGGTCAGAAAAGGGCTTGGAAGGTAGGAAATTCTAGTGGATATGAGAATTCACTGTCCAAGGCTATTCCTACATAGTAACCCTCTGAACGTCATTTGACCGTGTCCATCCGGTCATGATATTTTTTGTCACTTGGAACAAATTAGCTTATAATTTAAGATATTTTGCTTTCTTACTTTTTTAAAAATGTAAATGTCATCTTAATGAATGTGAGGTTATAAAAATAGAAACTAAAATAAATAATCACACAAACTTAGCGAATAAAGGCTTTTTAAATACAGGTTTTCATGACAGATCCAAAAACCCGCGCTATTGAAACCTTTATTGTTGTGTGTCAGCAGCCTTTCGCCAGCTCTTCCTTGTAGCTGATTAGGAGCCAATGGCAGGGCAGCGAGACATGCTCTAAAACGCACTGATAAATTATTGAAGAATTTAGTGTTAAGGCATATTTTAAAATTTAAATAATAAAAAATAATCATAAATAATATGATTTTAATCGTAATTATGCTGATCTTATTCGTAAGTTAGGGAAGGATTTGATAAAGAAAAAATATTTATGTTTCGTGTTATAAGTACTCATAGAGAGTCATTCTCACTTTAATCTTCTAAGAATGATTTTTTTTTTTTTAATTTAAAATAAATATTCGACTCATTCTTTTCTTTCAGGATCTGAATCTTTCTGCAGTCAGCATAGTGCCGGCCACGATAACACTCCTCGTTCCGATCCAAGCTCCAATGAAAAGTGGAGCAATCCCCGAAACAGTGAAAAGCCAGTACGGTGATAAGCACTTTCTGGTACACTGTCACCTTCACCTTCACCGTCCTCTAACCCTCACCATCAGCAGAGTGGCCAAAGCTGGCTTTGAATGGATCTCTTTTGCTGTTTTATATTGTGATTATACCAACCAGAACTTTCATCTCCACATCTTACTGAATAGTGGAGAAAGAAAAAATATGATACAAACGACTTATCTGCTACATACCTGAGAGTTAGCATTTGAGCTACGTTACCCTAGTTTGGAAGACTGTTCATTTTATTATAACGGATGTCAATATAATTTATTCATCATTCTGTCGTACAAATCCATATTTATGACATCTCTTACATTTTGCATACCATCACGGTGTTACGGATCGCTGTAATTGCTGGTTACTGTGATTGCATTTCCTTAAAATAAGTTTTTAGCATGCACGTTACCCAAGGAGCTAATTTTCTGTTGTCGGAAGTTGATATCATTATGCTCTGCGTTTAAGATGAATGTGATATTCCTGAAATACTACGCACCAAAATAAAGGACAGTTTAAATGTAGTCAGTTGTTTATACTTGCTAAGTATTTGAATATGACCGGTGATATAAATAAGATAAAACATAAAAAGAATTTTGTATTGTGTCGTTATTTCCTGGTGTTCCGAATATAATGTGCCAAAATCATTTTGGGCCTTTTTCTCTATGTACCAGAAGGAATCGTTTCTAAGGAAGAAAAGATTTTTTAAAATAATTTTTTCCCTCTAAAATGCTATGCGTGTTAATTCGTATTACAGAATTTAAAAGAATTAAAAATATTCTTATTGTATGCTGTCTGCTGTTTACTTTGCTGTTAGCTTTTATCTAAGCATGTTTCAAAAAAGAAAGTTTAGATGCATGTGTGTTTTCCTGATATCCTGGGAAGTTTATAGTAGACTTCCCAAACGCTAAGCTTCGGGCAGTTTTTTTAAAGTAATTTTTTCTGTTTTGTGAAGAGATCCTGAGAATATTTTTTCCATTTGAAAAAACAGAATAACTTTCATATCGCGGAGAGAAGATCCGTTATCTCAGGAGAAGACCTACAAACGCTGTTTGCAACGACAATATCATATAATTCTGTGACGAATTACATTAATTCTGTCATTCGGTTTCTGTTAAATATGTGTGTAAAAGTTATCTGTATGTTTTTTGCAAATGTTGATCTTGGTGTAAATAAATGTTTTTTTCAAAAAAATAAAGTGGTACTTTTTTATAGTATTGTCTAATTCTAAAAACTTTATAGTATATTTTTTCTTACTATCTTAAATTATACTGATTTGCTGTTTAGTATTATCGCCTTATATTAACACATTGCATATTGTAGAATATGCAGTTTGCCTATCATTTCTAAATACCGCTTTTGTCATTAAAAGTTATACACGCGGCTTTGATTTTTTTTAAATATATGCCTCTTGTATGACTGATATTCGAATACTTTTGAATAAAATGTAATACATAGCTAATAGCTAATTACTTAAAAGAAGGAGTTCTAATTACATTCGCTTACGTGAAAAGTGCATTAGGTAAATCTTCTAAATGTCATATAATTTTGTCACTAAATATTAGATCGAAAAACAGCCAAAATAGATGTCCAGGCCTGGATAACTGCCAGATATTGCCAAGCAAGCTTGTATTATCAACCACAGTTCGGCATTATGGCTGCTGTAGCCTTTAACCAAAGACTTAAAAGCATGTTTCCCAACGTAATAGAGAGCATCTTTTGGATTTAAATTTTACGATCTAGAAAGATACTATAAGACCTCGTAAGTTAATTTTCGGCTCCCGAGTCACACCTTGTTTATTGCAGTGTGATGGAGCGTCCCATTGTCTTCCCGAAAACACAGTTTTCTCTGCAAGATGTAAAATGAGCATGAATGGGTGTAGGCGATAAACTAGACTAATCTGGTAGTTTGAAGTATTCAGAGTCTTATTCAGACATTCCAAAGTATTTAATGTATCCTCACCTAAAATGTAGCTGCCGCTGTCTTTACTCAATTTTAAAATTGTAGGAATTGTCTTAGCTTCCCATTATCTTTTCATCTTTTGAATTCACTCGTACGTACGGGAAATTTGCAGTATCTAAGCTGCCTTAAAAACGTAAGCGCTACTTTTAATGAAGCCGCCATCAATAGTATTGGCATTTGGGTGAGGGATTGATTACAATAACCTAAGGTTTTGTACATTTTATAATATGACCAATAACTGGCCTGGAAACCTCGACAATATACACAGATTCAGCTTTTATAGCTTATGAAAATCTCAAAATTCTCATTGGGATTTTGCACATCTTTAAATGGCAGTATTTTACATAAATGGGAAACAACCCTTCGAAAGATTCTGTCGAAAATCCTAAGTTTAATGAGCCATCAGTCGTACCACGAGTGTTTTCGCAGTGAAATTTTCATATATCAAATTTTCATCCGCAGATGCCCATGTTGTTTCCTCTAGTTACTGTGTAAATACAGTAAACCCTTAGGGAAACATGACTGTTATATCATTAGCACATTGCGCGTACGGCAGAATCAACTTCTGCAAAGTTAATTTTCTATGACAGAAAAAAGGTGAGATGCAGATCTGATTAGGAAAATATGTATAATTTACACAATTATGTATAATTAACCTAAATAGCATTGTAATTAAAAGGGGGAAAATGAAACAATTATCAATGGAAAGAATTTCTATTATTGCTTATTAAGCAGATGCATGATAAAATTATCTTTTTCATTAGCTGGTGATTTTTTTTCTTTGGAGAGTGTCTGACGCAATAGGTTTCGCGGCAAAAACGCAAAGTTTTTCTTTTCTTCTTATAAAATGTCCTTTCTTATAAAATGTTTTCTTCATTCACGTCAAAATCCATTACAAAATCAGATAATTCTTGTGCCATTTTTAACAATTCATTTAAATTCTTCTACTTTAAAGCCTCTTTATCTTCTTCACCATCTGCTGGTGTAATAAGATCACCCAATTCTTCATTTCTCATTTCATGATCGTTATTTTCTATTAATTATTTCATTTCCTGTTCTTCCGCATCTCAAAATCTTTCGCCATCTATTGCTTTTGAAATTTGTGCAATTTCCTTGGCTTCATTTTCAGTAGATGGAAATCCTATAAAATTGTTGACAACTTCAGAGCCGGAGCTCATGTCATTAAGCTTTCTGTCATTAAGCATTGTTGATAATTCTCTTGTTTCCCATGCGAGTCTAGCATTTCTGTGTAAAGTCTTATGTTGAACTACTTCCAAAACGCCATTAGTGTATCGTGCTTTCTTTCACATTGTGTTTATTTGCAGATATGTAACCTGCCTCACGCAATAGGATTTGTAGGATTTTATTATTCCTTGAGCCATTGGTTAGATAATTGAATCAGTGAAATAGTGTTCTGTAGAAGGAATAAAACCTTTACATTTGAATGCAATATTGTAAGTGCTTCATCCCTGTGTCTTGAAGGATTATCGAGAATTAAGAGAACTTTAAAGCGCAGATTTTGCTGTTCTGAGTGAGTATGTGCACCGCGAAGATGCCTTCCGACCACGGAGGTGAACCAAACGGAAAACATCACAGCAGAGCAATCTACACTGGTGTGCAAAAATTAAGGACGAGACGGTTTTTTTTTCAATATAACTTTGTACATTTCCAAATCAACACATTTAATACCGTAAGATCCCCAATACGTAAGGACATGAGTAATGTAAACAACACTTACTAAAAGAGCAGAGGCATAAAAAGAAGCTTTATTGAAAAAGTAGCATGGAGCGCAATGCCACTGAAGGCCGAAACATCCCTGTGATGGGTGTCCAGCAAGAAACATCCGGTCTTTAATAGGGGATATGATCTCCTCTGACTGCTAGGCAGGTTTCACAGCGTCTGCCCTTGCTGAGAATGAGGGTGTCAATGAGTTGTTGAGGCATTGCTGCCATTCGTCTTGCAGCGCCAATCGAAGCTCCGGAATCGTTACTGGTGGTAAGGTACGAGCTGCCAAGCGTCTGCCTAGAAAATCCCATACACGCTCGATGGGATTGAGATCCGGAGATCGTGCCGGCCAATCCATACATTCAATATCCTCACTCTCTAAGAGCTGTTCGGCAGCTACTGTGCGATGACATGGTGCATTGTCGTCCATGATAAAAAGGAACTGCGGACCCATAGTGCCTCTAAAAAGACGCACATATGGAAGAAGAATCTCGTTACAATAACGGGTCCCGTTGACTGAACCTGCGTCGAAGATGTGAAGGTCTGTACGACTACCAAGCATGATGCCTCCCCAAACGAGAACACCGCCACCTCCATACCTGTCCCTTTCAATGATGTTCGAGGGATGATTACGGCTTCCCCGCTCTCCAGATGAGATATGCGATAAGAATCGCTCCCTCTACTCAATCCCTCTCTCTCCTAGACTAATCTGCTCTCATCTGTAAAGAGTACTCGTCCCCATTCATTGTCTCTCCAATTCCGGTGTTCCCGGCACCACAGAGAACGCCTTCTCCGATGGGCAGGCGTTAGAGGTACACACCGTACAGGGCGTCGTGCAAACAGACCACCACCGTGCAGTCTTCTGGCCACGGTAAAACGCGATATCGGTCGTCCAGTCGCCTGTGTCATGTGTCTAGCGATTTCTCCCGCTGCCTGCCGCCTGTTTCTTCTGGCCTGTAAGGCAATATACCGGTCATCTGCGGGTGTGGTTCCTCGTGGACGACCACTACTAAACCCCCGGATAGCTGTTCCTGTAGTTTGAAATTGTCTCCAAAGTCGTAAAACGATGCTGTGAGCAATTCCGAACTCTGCAGCCACACTTGTCGCACTGCGGCCTTCCTCCACCTTCGACCTCGGGTAAAAGCATCCAGATGTCGTCTAACAGATTGATTATTCGCCATTTCTCTCTGAGGCAGCAACTCGGTGTGATTTTAACTGCTATACGGCGTGCAATCTCTTTGCCAGAAATACTGATCTTACACCGACAACATGCTTTATACTACTCAGACTAGACTACTCAGACAACATGCTTTATACCCATTACGTCTACCTGCATATCTGCGAATGTGCTACCGTACATCACCTTACTTAATCTCCTGATTGGTCTTTCTGTTCGCTCTGCCTCTTCGTTCAGCTGATATGCTAATTTTTCGACTTCGTCCTTAATTTTTGCACACCAGTGTAACTTTATCTTACTCTGTACTGACCGCTAGCGGTTCAACAGCATACGCACGTTCGGCCGGCCGCTCAGCCGCAGATTCTCCCTGTTCTGAATAACTGTCAGAACAATCTGATAAATTGTCTAAATAAAACTCTCCAGTACCATTTTTGTCGCCCATTGTGAATGGTAAATTTTTTAAAAACGGTCTGAAAATGTTGGAGTTCACGAAGCAGCGCACTTAACGCAAGTGAGCAAACCTCAATACTAATAATAAAATGCAGATGATATAGCAAACGGCAATTGTTTATCGCCATGGCTATCGATTGATAGACTATTTTTAGGTAGACCTGAGAAAAAAGCGATTAATAGGCTATCGGTCGGTAAGCGTTGGCGAAAAAAGGCCGATTAATGGGCGATCGGTCGGTAGGCGTTGGCGATAAAAGGCCGATTAATAGGCAATTGGTCGGTAAAGTGTTAAATTAATTTTAAAACTTTAGGTCTGAATTTCTTTACTCTCCTTTATCTGCAGAGCCAGCTTTTTCTTGAAGCTTTACATAATGAAAATTAAAACGGCATTTTAAGTTCTCAAGCCAACTTGACAACTTTGCTCACTTGAAAGCCAATTTTCTGTAAAGATTGGCCATCTTACTTTAGAATGGAAAAAAAAAAAAAAAAAAAAATCTAAAGTTATGTTTTAGCAGTGTCTGCAACTGAACCTTTTCATATTTATTTAATTATCAGTCAAAGCTATTATCATTTATTCCATCTTTTCCACTTAAGAAATTCTTGAAGCTCGAGAAACCTTTGCCGTCTTATCATCTGAAGCTTAGACACTAAATAGGATACATTCTTCACTTTCCCTTTAGTTCTTACACTTCATTCGTTTATAATTAGTTCTTTGCAAACAGTGAAACACGTGTGCCATTTTACAATTTAATTGAAATTTCATTTTCTGAGATAATGTCAAATCTTTGCGTTTTTTATGCTGCTTTATCATTTTTATTCTTATTTTAGATGTTATATTGAATGTTTAGATTAAAAAAAACATACAGAAAAAGATAAAAGAAGA